ATTCTCAACTGTGGCTGTGACCAAGCTGTCAGAACATGTATGTTCTGAGGGAAGGGCATAACTGCCAAATGAATGTCTTCCAGATGCAATCCAAATTGTTGGTTGTCTCTGAAAGAGGTTGGTGAGGTGAATTGACTGGTCGTCTTAGCAGTAGCAACACCTGTTCTCTCTTCTTGAGCGAAGAATGACCTGTATTTGCATTGGCTTTGGAACCAAATGGGCAGATTTACAACAGAATGAGGCACATTGTTTTTCTAAGGATTAAATGAGAGAATGCACGTGACATAGCATTTTGCCTGGTACATGGTAACTGTCCAACAAATGTTAGTGAGTGTAGTTATTTTTCAGATGGGCCATTCAAAGCCCTGGTTATCCTCCCTGTTCACTCATCCCTGCTTCCTTTGGTAGTTTGCCTTATCCATATAGCCAAATTTTAAAGTTAAACAAGCTGTCCCAGGAATCTTAATGCTTGTCAGAGATCTCCCCACCGGAAGCAACTTTCTTCCACAACCAGTATCTTTAACTCGAGCACCACCTTGTGGTTTCCAGTGCAAATTCACCCAGGCCACTTGTAGAGGACCAAAGTGGTACAGGTGTGATCATCTCCCAGCTGAGTTGCTAAGTGCTACTGTGTATTTCACGTGCCTCATTGCATTTAATCCTTACCACAGTCTATAGGGAGCAGACACTGTTACAGGTAGGGAAACTGCTTGTCAGACACATGGCCAAATGTCTCTAGGCAGGATCTCTATTCTAATCAGATGTCAGATCTCCTGCTCTCTATTATATCCTGATAGCTTTACAGTTGGAAAGGCTCTTTGAGATTCACACTCATCCTTACACTGATACGGAACTGGAGAGATAGAAAGGGACTTATGTGAAGTCATAAATTCAACGAATGGCAGAGACAAAGCCAGAGATGTTTGCCTAAAGAGCTGATTCTTTGTCCTAGGCTCTTGACTAAGCCCCAGGGTGAGCTTACCAAGCAATTTGACTATACCCAAAACAGAGTTCTCAGACATGTTTGGAGTTGACTGTCAAAGAGAACCCTGGAGATAAACTGTTTCCACATATACTTCTAGTGCCAGTTATTTGGCCCACGTTCTCAATAACTTTGGCGCCCATTACTTCCACACCTCTTGGTCGGTCAGTTCTTGTGTCCCTGGGAGGCACAGTCCCATCAGGGTGGACTTGGCAGGTAGGAGTCCCAGCAGGCACACACTCAAATTGGCAACAAGGGAGAAGCTGGCATGAAGCTTACATTCCATCTTGGCATTCAGCCCTGAATACACTGTCTGTCTGGGAGCACCATGGCATGAGAACTGGAGCCAGGGAACAAAAGATGGCAAGTGCTGCAGGCCCAGACAGGCGAGCACAACAGCCCACATAACCAGCACTACTGTGCTGCCTTCTAACTTTTGACTTCAAACAGCAGCTAGGGGTAGAAAAAACTACCTCTGCCATGCATGGGCATGTCTGCCTCTTCCCATAGGGTGACTGGGTTTCATCAAGGCTGTCATCTAAATCAGATGAGAAACTGGACAAAATTATGCTGAAAAAGCAAAGTGACAGAAGAGATTCCCTTACTGGTCAGTTTTGTTAATACTTCTTAAATCCGGACAAAGAAAACCGTGTACCACCTTGGTACTTCAACTAGGTTTCCTAAACTACTAAATAGGAGCTCCACTTTTGGGAAAAGCAAATGAAACAAGAATCCTCTTTTGTTTTAACACATCCTAGAAGCCCTGTTCCCTTGAGCCAGCCTCTGACTTGCCCTTGAATGAGGTTGCTGCTCTTCCACAGGTACCAGGTATGCAAGATCAGAGCAGGGGAGGCTTGGTTTCCACCTTTCCATCTGGATCATGCTGTTGACTCAAAGGCAACCACATGTAGAAAGAGAATCAATTTTGGAATTAAGCCTGGCATAAAATCTGGTTTGCCACTGAAGAGCTGCTACTTAACCTCTTTCAGCCTGTTTTAAAAGTGCCATCTATCTCCATAGAATGTTAACAAGGGTAACACTTTTATTTTTTTTTTTAAAGGGCAGGTTTCCCTTTGGCTTGCACAGGGAAGAGAGTAAGGTACAAATTAGTTAGGCCCATCAACTGGAACCTCTCCTCTGGTGTTAACACTGGGATTATGGCCTTTTGCATATATCCTTCCATAGGCAAATGTAGCAGAAGACAACTTAATCACTAAATCTATGGCTAAAGAGTAACTATGAGGAAATTGCACATGCTTTGGAGAGCTCACTCACACTGTCTCCATGGCTCAGACCTTTCTTAGAACAGTCCTAAAGAATCTCAAGCACACAAAGTATATTCTTAAATATGGTTTAATACTCTTCTCCATTTCTGTACATCACAACACCAAGATTTTGCTGTTTAGGATCTCTCTGTAGAGGCTATAGAGAACGCAAAGGCTACGGTTTTCACCCCCTCTTACTTATGTGTTTGTATTGTGTAAGTGTAATACATATCAGTATATATTGATACACACATCAATATATAATGCAATATATATCACTGAAGAGAACACATTGATTAAAGAAATACAAAAATTTGGCATCATTTCCAAACTTAAATAGTAAAAATAAAAACTACAAAAGGAGCTGCATACCCTAAATGTATCATGTGAAACAACAAGCATATTCAAAAATGTAAATTTACATCCAATTTCTCTGATCTTGTCATATATCACATTAGACCCATTTACAATGGCAAAACCCTAAGGTACTGCTATGAAGAGAGCAAGTTTGCTCGCTCTTGGGTGTTCTGCAAACAAACAGCAGAGCCCAAAGAAAAAGCCTGTTCTGGTGAAGCCTCCCGCATTGGTGAATAAGAATTGACTCTTGTTACTGGGGGTTGAGACATCAGGTTATACATCGACAGACAGTCATTTGGACCTCAGAGTACAGTGTTGAGAACCAGAAGCTTTACATTTAAGACATACTCCCTTCATTCAAGTGAAACAGGATTACTGGAACGATAGGCAGGTCTGCAACCTGGGAACAAGGAGCTGGTTCAGACCAATAAAGCTACGAGTGACTGAGTCAAGTCAGTGAAGAACAGCAGTCAGGCACTAAAGTGTTTAAAGTACCCAATTTGAAAACCAAATGCACCCCACTACCCTAGCAGTGTGGGGGGATACCAATCGACTTTTAAAACCTTTGGTCCTTCAAAGTCCATTTGGTATACTTTTTTCAATTGCTACCACTGGGCACGTCCTATACACTTTGTTCACTGTCACCACCTCAGGCACCCTGTCCGTGACCTTGCATGTTAGCTGGGGTCAAGTCTGATTTACAACCCAGCTGTGAAGCCTAAGCTTCAGGTTTTCAGGCCCACTTTTGGGTCCAACATGGTTAAGTCCTTGGTGCCAGAAGCTGTGTCCCCATCCCTTCCCACCCCTGCCCTTCCCACCCTCCTCCCATAATTTCTGAGAGGTGCTTGTAAGTCCCATATTTCAAACAGATGCTCCAACCCCACCAGGAGGTCAGGGGTTTACAATTACATGCACAGTCATACATGTCTCGTCTGTCGTTCCTGTGAAAAACCTTGCAGTTCATTTTTAAAAAATCAAAACATTCACATAATCTCATGCCATCCAACACAAGGAAAACACGACCACCTCCCTTTTGCAAGGACAGACCCAAGCAAAATAAAATATTTAAATGTCTTTGCTTCCACTTAAATTGCATGTTTTATTTCTCCCAATTCCAGCAATAGCATAGAAGTCCCATCATATCCATCCCAAACTGGTTTCTAGTATGCAAGGTTATGAGAACCCTCGTCAAAGCAGTTGATGCTAAGGGCTCCCAAACCCTGGGCGCAAATGCGCCTGCAGAACAGATGGAAGGAAACAGCAGTGGCCCAAATGCTTCATGTGTCAGTTTCTCTTTGCAATGCAACCTGCATCCTTGAAACTGACGGCCTGGACGGGAGGGGTACTGAGGGAGTGAAGCTGAAATTGCCTATTAGCTCACTCTTTCAACATTAAACAGAGACCGAGAGAAATGGTTCCAACATTTCACCACATATATTTCTTCTTATGCAGTCTAAGCTGAGAATGCCATGTAAATGGGTCACTGCGAAATGCAGCAATTTAATTTTTCTCCAATCAAAATAAGAAACAAACCAGTATGATCTCATTTCTATTAACTTTTGAAGGTTTACAGCAGTTAAAGTATTTTTGCTTCTATGTATGAAGGTTAAAAAAATCTTTTTTTTTTTCCCCATAAAATACAAGAGCAACCAATTTCACCATCAAGTAAAAGTAAAAACTGGGATTCTTTTTTAAATTAGTCCAAAGTGGCATTTAGGAACTTAGTTGTAGGCTGCTGCGCTGACACCATGACAAACCAAAGTGTAGGGTTGGGTCTGGTTTTGTTTCGGTTTTCTTTTCAATATCCAATGCTCATGGATTAAGTTCTGGAAATGTTCCAATTGTAAGGCAGGGATCTGTTTGGATTCCACCACGGGTATGCTCCTTGGGTTGGATGCTGGAGGGTGAGGCACATTTTGCCGGACCCATGTCGACTACCTAGTAGTCATCAAGGTCAAAAAATTCATCATCTCCTCCTTGGTATTCCATTCCCTGGAAATCTACTCGGTACCGCAAGATACCTATGGGAACAAACGAACAAACAGTAAATAGCCGTGGTTGACAAAACTGGAGGGTGGGGAGCAATCCCCTTGCAGAATTATAGCAAGGAGAGATGATGTATGAGCACACCTCTCTGGAAGTAATGATATTTTTGGGATACACAGGAAAGGTTGTGGCTGAAACCCTGGCATTCAGTTTTCTTTTCTTTTTTTTGCATTCAGTTTTCTGATTTGCTACTCACCTCCAATTCCACCAAATCCTTTGACAAACTGGGATCCTTCTTGTGACTTATCTGTGACAATTTCCAAAGTAGCTCCAAATTTTTTATAGTTGTTGGCAAACCACTCCAAAAGGGGCATGCTCTCAATCAGCTCATGTTCTTGTCCTGTCTGCAGGGGCAGCCATGAGATACAGAAACAGTTTCAAGACATGGATACTTGCTACCCTGCCTGCCATTCTCCCTCTTCCCCTCAGATCTATGGTGTGTTCAACTGTAAGCAAATTATGGGTTCTGGCGACATAAATGCAACAGCACAGAAATTCTGATTACTTCAAACAACATTCCTCCCCAGGCTCTAGCATCAGTAATGAAATGTTCACACACACTTGGCAGTTTTTCAATTTATGGTTCCTCCCATTGTCTTGAGAGGTCAGGCTGTTACAAAGTGTCTCTAGACAATACTCATTCAACAGCTAAGAGGCAAGCCACAACTGCTTTTTGGAGGAGCCTTGTAAAAACCAAAGTTGTCCAACTCAGAATTTGAAGATGCTACCAAATAAAAGGGACCTGTGTTGAGCAAGTAAACTTTTTTATACTTAAAAAAAAATAAAAACAAACAACAACAACAAAAAAAAAAACCACAAAAAAAGAACCAGGGTAACCATCACCTGGCCTCCTTCCTTGGAATCAGACTTTTATGTGGCACATGGGAGTGGACCACCTCCTGGCACTCTCACTGCCAACAAGTAGAGGTCTGGTTTCTCGAGGCTGATGCTACTCTATGCTGCCAGTGCTCTAACATACGGATTTATGTTTCCTTGCATGTATCATCAAAGCACATGAACAATCACATACCTCTTTGTCTGTAAAATGAGACTTATCCTTCTCTTGTTCTGGAGTTAGATAGAGAATTTTCTCCTCTGCAGTATTGGGGGAAAAAAGATGTGTTAACCTGCTTCTCAGATACTAATAGGTTTAAGTTCCATGAGATGAAAATTAGGTTAGATGAAAGGACTCCTGAACTGATTCTATCAATCTTCTTTTATAAGCACATTAGTCAGTATGCAGTGAATGAATGTCTACCAGGTATACTGGTCCTATCATAAGGAAACATCAAAGACATTTAAGATACAGCCCTTATCCTCAAAAAATCTTAGGCAGACATTTATCAGTTTGATCGGGTACAGGCTGGGAGTGGGCAACAAGGTACACATCTGCCTTTTAATTGCTCTTGAAATCAGCCACCTTGTCCAATCTCCACCCCAGGCTTCTTGAATACACAGGTTAGTAACAAATGGAAACTTTATTTACTAATTATCATACCTTCTGTGCCTTGGCAATGAAGAACATATCTCATGATATCCAGATTTTCATAGACTATTAGAATCTCTACAGCTCCCATTTCTAAAGCCTTTAGTGTATCTTCAACTCCAAAACAGTACTTGCCCGTGTCCTGGCTTATTTCATCGAAGTATCGCCCTGTGATTAGGGACAGGTCAAAAGAATGTATATTAATGTTTCTTTTTGTACACATACACCTTCTTACTCAAAATCAGAGAAAGAGAACAAGTCAACTTAAAAACAACTGCCAAAAGTTAGTGAAAAATCACACCACTAGTCGAGGCTCCAGAAATTGAGTCTCAAGAGGTACCAGTTGGGCCAAATACATAATCATTTGGAAATGCGCATGTATCAAATTGGAAACACAGCCAAACAATGGCCCTATTAATCTTTAATTTGAGGTTTTGAATTATTTATCACTCTAAAACAAAACATAATATGGGAAATTTGACTGAAGTTTGGTTCCTACTGCCAAAGGGTAAAAACAGTAAGAAAGACAAACATTTATTATTAATATTAGATGTGACAACTAAAGGATGATTTAAAATGATTCCATCGAGAAGGATTTTAATAAAAATGCTAAACCTTCCTCTTACCCTTCTCAGTGTCTTGTTTTGTACATACACACATACAAAAACTTTTCACAGTAAAGAAGTTGTATTTCACTGATACCTATTAATTTCTTCTCTTGAATGAACTTCACGTTGGAGAGGACTTCAGTAGATAATTCAATAGCTTGATTGAATCCATTTTCACCACCATAAGATATATCAACTAATTTTAAAACTTTTGATTGCAACCTCTAACACATAACAAAATAAAAAAAAAAAAAGAAAAAGCACATTAGTACTTCAAAACACCCTTACCAAGACCCATGACCTCTTAATGGCATGCAAAACTAGCCAGTGAAACATCAAGAGGAAGAATATGGGGGAAGGTGCCCAATTTATTCATGAACAGGTCTCATGGAGATCACCTCCCCAGCCAACTGTATTGCACATCCTATTAGACTGATAAAACCAGCTCCTAGTTTCTTTGAAATCAAACTTCAATTTAAAGCCAATTATGGCAACCTACTAAAACCAGGGGCCAACATAGGGCCAAGAAAGATTCCGTCCCAAAATGGCTGATTTCAAAAGAAAATAAGTCCAGACACAGTAGGGGAATATCTCCTAATATTACTAATAATACACACGAAATTTTGCCAACTCAGAGAGAAGTTTTTAACATGGAATTTATCACTGTAAAAGAAAGAGATGTGCATGTCCCAGCACTCAGAGAACTCAACTACTCCCACCAAGAAACTTACATAATGGAGCATCTACTTCTCACTTACCTGATCAAACATATCAGATTGACTTAGTTCAGTTTTAAAGTCAGCTGATCCAGCTAAAACGAGACCAGCCACATTCACCTTGTCCCCAGAAATAAACAGCTGCACAGCAGTCTCAGCTACTTTTCGAACATAGTTATGTCGCTTTTCCATTCTTAAACGGGCAAAACGCAAGGCTGACTGACCTCCTCTACCTTTGACAAAAAAAGTGATGAGAGAAAACAGCATTTATTAAGTATATGATACCTTGCTAATTAAAAAGTAATTATATAACCATGCTATTTCCCAAGGAAAGGAGAAAATCACTATTCCTTTCAGAATAAAATTGCTTTTAGTGAGTGAACACTAATTCTCTAGTCAAGAGAGTCACAAGTAACAATGCTTTTCCCATCACCTGAGTTTACTTTCCCCTACTACACAATTTGCTTCCTTAATGCTGGACACAAAGCAAAAGTGTTCATGTTCTCTTCCTAGATTACCATGTTTCTTTGGGAGATCCACAGTGAATTTGTGCAGGACTTCTCTTGTATTTCCTTGGAGTGTGCCAAAAAGTGCACCACTACCATCTATTACAATGAAGCCAAACTTGCTATCATCTGAAAGTAGTGCTGTAAGAGCCTGAAAAGCAAACACAGGTACCACACCATAAATCTCAAAGCTTTGCAAAGTTAAGACAAAAATCCCAAAGGGACATATACAAGCCCTTTCCACTCAGAAAGGTATGGAGTACTACAGAAAAACCATTTCACAGAGTAATTTAAAGGCTTCAGCTATAAATATGTAATTCATATAGACAAATCTGAACCTGATGCAGGAGAAAACCAACAATATCAATGTGAAGCCTTTTTACAAAGCTGACCTAGGCACAGGAACCCAAAACTAATAGAGTTATAGGGTTCAAATTCTTCCTAGGTTGTTTTTAGACTGATGGTGGTCTAGAGAACATAATATTCAAAGTCTAACCTCCAAAAGTTGACTTGCTGTTACCATTAATAACCCCAGCATTAATAGGCAGTATTCACTATGGCTAATAAGAATCTTTTGCAAATCAATTCTAGAACAGGGGTACTCACTGAGGACAAAACCCAGAAATCGTCTATAAAAAGATCTAGTTTTGAAATGTTTCATTTAATTATGTCTTGAGTAACATTAATGACATCAGTATCTAAAATTCAATTTTAAAGGTACTATAGTAATAATTGTGAGTTTTTATGAGTATCATTCTATTTATGCCTCCTGAAAGATCAGATCTTTAAATAGTTCTGGGACCCATATAGATGGGCAAGAGTTGGCGTCTATAGACATGGTAGGTGACTAATAACTAGGTGGCAGCCTCTATAGAGCTAAGATTTATTACCCATACCATTTAACTGAGGAAGAAAACAGCTCTTCACGAACTGACTGGAAAGCAGATTAATCACTAAGAATCACCCTTTAACCAAAGCATACTTGATAATTAGCATTAAGACATGAATATTGCCCATGTTAAAAATTTTGCCTTAAGACTCTGTCTTCCAATGCAGGGGGTACAGATTTGATTCCTGATCAGGGAACTAAGATCCCACACGCCACAGAGTGGGGTCAGAATCAGGGAATAGACTTACCTCTCATAATAAGAATATTTAAATATCCTGATTAAACACAACTGCAGTTGTGCTCTTCAGTATACCACATGTATATGTAGTTTTTGATATACCAGTTAGAGCCAAAACAAAGCTAGTTAAGATGAAATGGTATTTTGGAAAAAGAGTTAAGCTAACTTAGGTAAGTAAGGTAAAACTAGATAACATGAGTATCATGTACTATTTAAATCAAGAAGACTCAAAATCTGCTTTCATCAAAGCAGATACAGTTAATTGGAAGAGGGTGGCAAACTGCCTCCCCAATGGAACCTTTGCCAGAAGCAGGCTGTGACAGCCAAGAGAAAAGTCCGTCTCCACCATCTATGCAATCACTCAAGATCCGACTGGAACTGAACTTCCCGTCAAGTTAGCAGAATCATCCATTGTAAACTGTGTCAACAAATGTCAGTTCTAATTCCACTATAGAGGTTTTCCCCTATGTTGATGAAAGGCAAGAGACTGAACTAGAAGCCAGCTGTGAATTCTTGATTGTTCTACTGTTGACTGATTTAGGTCACTCTAATGAGGTTTCCTTTCTACCCTTAATGTTCATCATATTATGACAGTTCTGTCACTCAAAAGTTTTTGTTTTTTTTTTTTAATGGATGGGGGAAAAAAGCTCTTATGGTCCTGACTACTGAAAATTTTTATAATTTGTCAGCTGAAACTAAGAGTGCAAGAAATATATTCATATTCAAGTATCATGGATACATAAGGAGACCTAGAGATCAGGTAGTCATTTATTTCTCTGCTTCTAATTAGTTCTTCAAACCCAGCTTAGCACTTTCCTCAAACATGCTGAATATTCATGACATTCATTGTCATATTGAAAAAAAATTTTTTTTTAAAAAGAAGAACCAGCTTTATAAAATGGAACAGTTATTTGGAAAACAGTCTGGCAATTGTTGAACTGGTTAAACATAATTACTATATGACCCAGAAATTCCACTTCTAGCTTGTATACCTGGCCCCCCAGTGAAAACATAGGGACATACAAAACCTTGTACATGTATGTTCAAAGCAGTATTATTCATAACAGCCAAATAATGGAAATGACAATTTCACCAAATGATGTTATTAAGTGAAATATGGCATATCCATGAATAGATAAAACGTGGAAAATAGTATTTGGTAATAAAAAAGGAATGACGCATAATACATACCACAAAATGGATGAACCTTGAAAACACGCTAAGTAAAAGGAACAAGCCACAAAAGGCACAGAAAAACAGATCAGGGGTAGCCTATAGCTGAAAGATCTTGGGGTATGGTGGCAGGGACGAGGAAGGCCTGGGAGTGACTGCTAATAGGTATGGTGGATTTCTTTTAGGGT